GGAGCTCTCTTTGGTTTTTGCCAATGCCTTCAGTGCAGCTTGGACTTCTTCCCTCAGTATCATCAGTTTTCCATCATATGCTACCTCCTGAAATGATTGATGTTCAGTGACTGTATTTCTTCTACCTTCTTTAGGTGTTTTCTTCATAATTCAGTATTTTGCCCACTATTATTGTTGTTGTTAAGTGTTGTTGAGTTGGTTCCGACTCATAGCAACCCTGTGCACAACAGAACAAAGCACTGCTTGGTCCTTCACTGTCCTCACAATTGTTAGCAGGCTTGAATCCACTGCTGCTGTCACTGTGTCAATCCATCTCACTGGGGCTCTTCCTCTTTTTTTGCTAACCCTTTACTTCACCAAGCATGATGTCCTTCTCCAGGAACTGGGCTCTCCTGTTAACACAACCAGAATAGAAGAGATGAAGTTTCATCATCCTCATTTCTAAGAAACATTCTGGCTGCACTTCTTCCAAGGCAAATTTGCTTGTTCTTATGTCAGTCCATGGTATTTTTTTAATATTCTTCTCCAACATCACAATTCAAATGCATCGATTATTCTCGTCTTGCTCATTCATTGCCCAACTTTAACATGCATATGTGGTTACTGAAATTGCCATGGCTTGGGTAAGGGGCACCTTAGTCCTCAAACTGGTATAATTGTTCTTTAACGCTTTAAAGAGTGGATAAGACTATTGTGGTTCAATATTGAATATTTGCTATCAGCTTACTAATACTGATTGTGAATGTTGCAAATGTAAAGGTAGATGTTTTTTTAACAAAAGGAGGAGAGTGCTTGATCCTTGCAGTCCAGGAGCAGAGGACCCTGGGACTATCAAGGGAGAAGAGTGGAGTGTGGGACCCTATCCAGAGAAGCAGCGAGGCCAAAGACGGAGGCAGAGACCATGAGGAAGGATGGAGTGGCTGGGGACTCTAGACTCAAGGAGGGAGAGGGGCTGTGTGCTGGTGGCCAGGAGGCAGGCTTGCGGAGTGCGCCCTTTGGTTGTTTGAATGGCTATATATTCCTGAGTGCTTCGGTATACATCAAAACAAACAAACAAACAAACAAAAAAAACCACCACCAGAGGGATTGGAAGCAAATGCTGTTGAATGATGATGCATGGAGGAGCTTGTAATCATTGCAATGAAACAAAATACGATAGGATGAATGTAAAGCTGATGCTCTCCCATGTAAACTATCACTCAATTCACAATAAAAACTTAAAAAAAAAAAAAAAAAAAAGAGGTCTTTTGCAGCTGATTTGCCGAACGCAAGATGTCATTTGATTTCTTGACTGCTGCCTCCATGAATGTTGACTGTGGATGCAGCAAAATGAAGTCTTTGACAATTTCAATCTTTCAAAATTGCAAGCCAAGGCTTGAATTGTTATTTCTGTTCTTTCACTTTGAGAAATGCTGAGCATGTTCTTGCGTTTTGGTTTTCTAATTCCAGGTCTTGGCCCATTTCATTTTAATACCTTACTTTGTCTTCTTAAGCTATTTTGAAATTTTCTGTTATGCTCTTCTACTTCATTTCTTTCATTCGCTTTTTCGTTAAGCCACAAGCAAGTTTCGAAATCTCTTCTGAAATCCATTTTTGTCTTTTGTGTCTTCCCTGTCTTAACGACCTTTTGCTATCTTCTTGTTTGATACTCCTGATGTCATCCCACAACTCCTCTGGTCTTCCGTCATTTGTGTTTAATGCAGTCAAATCTATTCTTGAAATAGTCCTAAATTCAAGTGTGATATATATATATTCAAGGTCATATTTTGGCTCTCTTGGACTTGTTTTAATTTTCTTCTGCTTCAGCCTGAACTTGCATTTGCATAATTGATGATCTGTTCTACAGCATGCTCCTGGCCTTATTTTAGCTGATGATATTGAGCTTCTCCATCATTTCTTCCCACAAATGTGGTCAGTCTGATTTCTGTGTATTCCATCTGGTGAGGTCCATGTGTATAGTCGCCTTTCATATTGGTTAAAAATGTTATTGCAATGAATAGTTGTTCTTGCAAAATTCTATCATGTGTTCTCTAGTATCATTTCTATCACCTGGGCCATATTTTGCAACTACTGATCCTTCCTCTTTGTTTCCAGCTTTTGCATTCCAATCACCAGTAATTATCGATGTATTTTGATTGCATGTTTGATCAATTTCAGATTGAAGAAGCTGTAGTTGCTGGTAGTTGTGTGCCATAAGGTCAGTTCCAACTCACAGCAACTCAACTCTGTTTTATGTTCTGAGATTGTAAATCTTTATGGGAGCAGAAAGCCTCATCTTTCTCCCTCAGAGTAGCTGGCAGATTTGAACTGCTGACCTTACAGTTTGCAGCCCAATACAAAACCCACTACGCTACTAGGGTTCCTTGAAGAAGCTGGTAGAATTCTTCAATTTCACATCACTGGCTTTAGTGGCTATTGTGTGAATTGAGTAACAGTCGTAGTAACTAACTATTCTTCCTTGTATGTGTACATTATCCTATCATAGACAGCATCATACTTAAAGATGTTCTTTTTGATGATGAATATTATGTTGTTCCTCTTCAATTTGACAGTCCTGGCATAGATGATCTGATTTCAGATTCAAATTGGCCAATACCAGTCCATTTCAGTTTACTAATACCAAGAGCATTAGTTAGTCTTTATGCATCCATGTCATTGTTGACAACTTTCAATATTCTTAGATTAATACTTTGTATATTCCATGTTATGATTAGTAATGAATGTTTTAAGTTGTTTCTCCTCAAGAGTTGTGCCCCATGAGCATATGACAGTCCCACACATTATGTTCCTTTCACTTCATTACGGTCAAGTACAGTTTGAGGAGACTGCTCTTCCCCAGTCTTAATTTGTGCCTTCCAACCACAGGGGATCATCTTCCGGCACTTTATCTGACAATGGTGTAATGATGTATTCAATTAATTACAAAAAACACCTAAGCCAGATATGTAATAATTATTTTCCAGTTATAGCAATGATAATGTGAATGTGAATTTTATTTTGAGGTACAAACTGCTAGGAGAGGGAGTAGACACATTAAGATTCCGAATTATTTTCATAGATTGATACTGAAACAAAATGCAAAAGTATATATATAAGGAATGAAAGAATAACTTCTCTTGAAGATATAAAAAGCCACCAGATTAATTATTAATAGATTATTGAAACTAAAATTCTGATAAAGACAAATGACTATAAGTTCTTAAATCAGGCACAATAAATTCTCAATTGCCCTGCACTGTAGTTGTATAAGCTGAAAGGCAAGGCCAGGTTTAGCTTTCTTTCCATCCTTCACATACATAGAGGGTAAAACAATTTGAAATTAATGAATTAACTGGACTAGTGACAGCTTAATGACACAGATCATCCAGAGTCATATGTACTGGTCTTTGAACTTAATGAAAATAATTTAATTATATTCATCCTGAAGGTCTCCTAACTGCTAGGAGCTGTCTGGCTCTGGAAAAAAGAAAAGAAAAAAAAACAAAAAACAAAAAAAACCCAGTGACAAATCAGAAGCAGCCTCCTGGCAGTCAGTGAAAGGTTAAATAAGGGGCAGGATAGGAGCAGATTGCTTTTTAATTAAAAAACACCCCATCTGGCAGTATTGTGGGACGTTGGACTGGAGGGATTTAAGGTAGAAACTAGGAGACCAGAAAGGAGTCTAAGGCCAAAGATCAAGCAAAAATTTGATGGGAGCCTGGAATAAAGGAACTGGCAAAACGGGAACTTCAAATATTACAATATTGATCTTATGCTTCATAATCCTAGAGTCTATTAAGGCATGAAGGTTTTACTTGATGCTAGTAGCGTTTTTAACATTATATGGTATTTTTTCTTAACACCAAAATGGACTTGCATTCTGGAATTACACGCTGGCAGATTGTCTGTCTGTCCATCACTGTATTACCAGCTTCTGCAAACAAAATGTAGTGATTTCTCAATTAGTAGGTATTTGGGATGAGTGGAGTATCTCGGTGATGCTTAGCTGTTACTCAGAGTGGAGGTTGGAGTTCACCCAGATGCACCTCGAAAGAAAGGCCTACTGACCAACTTCCAACAAGTCAGCCATTGAAAACGCTATGGAGCAGTTCTACTCTGACGCGCAGATCACCATAAATTAGATTCATTCAATGGTAACTAGTTGGATTAAAGAATGATATAAAGATTTGAGAGGAGCACAGAGAAGCAAGACCAGCCACAATTACATACCATCTGAAGGGGCTATGCAACCTGTCAAGGGATCACTGCCCAAATGCCCCCGCTCCCACCCACCCCTAATCCTGTCCAGTTGAGAACCTTTGGAGGAGAGTGGAGCTTGTATCCCATTTCTTTCAAGAATCTAGTAAAATGGGCTTCTGGGTAAATTAAAAGGGAAGAGACGCAGCCCATCTAGTTAACGATATTTGCAGTCAAAAGGAAATGCACTTTTCCTTGCTCTCAACCAAGATGTCAATCCAGAACCAGGGACGATCCTGCCCCTTAGAACAGAGTGAATACTTAATGACAAACCTCTCTGGAGAATCCCCCATTCCCTATGGACAGTAAAGGGGTGTGGGGGCTGGCCCTGAGACCCCACTGGTTCCGAAAGGCGGAGGCACACCCCGCAAGGTCACTGACCAATGCACAACTCGAGTCCAGAGCGTCCCTGCGCGAGTCTCATGACTCCTGGGCACAGCATCTTTGGCCCTGGGGGTGGGGGTGGGGGCGCGGAGAAGCCCTGCGGCGCCGGGGAGAGAGCGATGACTTTCCGGGAAAGCCGCAAGGTGGGCGCCCCGTGTCCGCTGCACCTCTCGAAGCGTCAAGACAGGTGCCAGGGAAGAGAGACAGCAGAAGCTGAGGTGTATCCCCACCCACCCTCTGCTCGATCGACCAAGCAGGGAAACAGACTCTCTCCGCCACTGTCACACCTGAAGAAGGGGGCGGGGCGCCCCGAAACGCAGCCCCGGAGTTTGGCCCTCTCCCAACAAATTCCGACATGTCTGGGGAGTGGGGTTTCCTACCTCTGGGAGACTCTGGGCCTCCGGTCCCTTGGGGAGCCCCATGATCCGGTTGGGCTGGCAGGCGGCGGGAGCGGGACCCCTTGAGAGTCCGAAGGAAGCGGTCCTTGGCCGCAAAGCTGCTACCGGGGTGGAGTGCCAAGCTAAAACTTCCTCTGCCGTTGCGAGTCCGGAGCGCCGTGGCTGACGGAGCATGCGCATTGGGGCGCTGTGCGCCTGCGCCTGCGCGAGGGCAGCTCCGGGGGCGCCTGGGCCGGGCTGTTCTCGGATAGTGTTTGTCTTGTGGGGCTGCGAGGGTAGGGGGTCTGCGGTAATTTAGCGCCTGGGCTGCCCGAATCGTTTCACCAAAGGACAAACGTCCTGCAGCTTTTAAAAAAAAATGCATTCCGGTCCCTTCCTCTTTAGGGCCACAAGCCATCAACTGCAGTAGGTTGTTAGGTCCGCTCATCAAGCCGGACGTCGGAGCACCCTGGCTCGGCGGTCAGAGTCCGAGTAGAAATGAGTTTAGGGATTACAGACTCCAGGCTGATTTTAGCTCGGAGTCGGGGTATCTCCCGATGGATCCGCACTTGGGCACAATTCTTGATATAGGGACGAGCGAAAAGAACCCCAGAAAATAAGGCATACATACTTCAACGCCGGTGTCCTCCCAGTGTTCGAACCAATGACATCATTATTGTTGTTAAATGACATCGTTGTTGTTCCTAAATGCTGTCGAGTTGGTACCGACTCATAGATACCCTGTATAGGATTCCCAAGGAATGGCTGGTGGATTTGAACTGCTGCTCGGAGTCCTGGTATGGCGCTGTGGGTTAATGCGCCAGACTG